AAATACTATCTAAAACGCCTATAGTTAAATAGTATTCGCACTATTTATAGCAAGTACCTTATATAACGCCTCCTACGAGTACCCTATTAAACGCCTATAGCGAGTACCCTATAGAATATCTATAGCGAGTAGTACTATCCGGAACGCTTATAGTAAATACTATCGAAAACGCCTATATTCGAACTACCTATAGCGAGTAACCTATATAACCTCTACTACGAGTATCTTATAAAACGCCTATAGTAAGCACTCTATAGAATATCTATAGCGAGTAGTACTATCCGGAACGTATAGGACCCTATAAAACGCCTATAGCGTACTACTATTTATAGCCTATACTAATTTTTATTTAGAACGCGCTATATAGTAATTCTGATCCGAAACGCTTATACTAAGTCTTATCCGAAACGCGTATAGTAAGTCTAATTCGGAACGCTAATAGTAAGTACTATTAAGAACGCTTATAGCAAGTATGTACTAAGTCTTATCCGGAACGCGTATAGTAAGTCTAACTCGGAACGCTAATAGTAAGTACTATTAAGAACGCTTATAGCAAGTAGTACTATCTAAAATACTAATAGTAAGCACTATTTAGAATACTTACAGCAAGTTATATCCGAAACGCTTATAGTAAATACTACTAAAAACGCTTATAGCGAGTAGCAATATTTGAAACGCTTATAGCGGTAACTATCCGAGGTATCTATAGCAAATAGTACTATCCGGAACGCTTATAGTAAACACTATCTAAAACGCCTATATTCGAACTACTTATAGCGAGTACCCTATATAACGCCTACTACGAGTACCTTATAAAACGCCTGTAGCGAGTACTCTATAGAATACCTATAGCGAGCAGTACTACCCGGAACGCGTAGGATAAGCCTTATTTTAAACGCTTAGTATAGTTAGTCCTATATAAACCGGAACGTATATAGCAAGTCTTATCCGAAACTAAATACCTATATTAAGTACTGTCCGGAAGGCTTATAGCGAGTAGTGCTGTCCGGAACGCTTATAGTAAATACTATCTAAAACGCCTATAGTAAATAGTATTCGAACTACCTATAGCGAGTACCCTATATAACGCCTACTACGAGTATCCTATAGGACGCCTATAGCGAGTACTCTATAGAATATCTGTAATACTAAGAATAAGTCTAATTTAGAACGCTTATAATACTAAGTACTATTCGGAACGTATATAGTAAGTCTAATCCGAAGCGCTAATAGTTAGTGCTACTATCTATAACGCTTATACTAAGTTTTATTTAAAACGCGCTATATAGTAATTCTAATCTAAACGCTTATACTAAGTCTTATCCGGAACGCGTATAGTAAGTCTAACTCGGAACGCTAATAGTAAGTACTATTAAGAACGCTTGTAGTAAGTAGTACTATCCAAAATACCTATAATAAGTACTATTTAGAACACTTATAGTAAGCTATATCCGATACGCTTAGCCTTTCGAGTATACCGCCTCGAGTAAATATCCCCGGATTAGGCGTAAACGACTATATAGCCTCGAGTAAATACTACCGGATCGGGCGTAAAAGATATATATAGTATCGGAAATACTACTATTATAGCGGCGAAGCCTTACGATACATACTACGACTACTATGTCCTCCGAACCGGTCGCGAACTAAGGAGTTTTAACGTTCCTCGGATATAGCTAATTAGAGGCGGCTTTTAGATCGTTTTAAGCCGTACTAAGCCTAAAGTAGACCTACGGTTTGTTAAGTTATTATTATATTAGAGATAGCGTAACCGCGTAATACCGCCGCGAGCGAATACCGCCGGATTAGGCCTAAAAGTTAGATATACCCTTCCGGAATACTACTATCGCGGCGGCAACGCGTTATAATATAGACTCCGCGCAATACCGCCGCGAGCAAACACCGCCGGATAAGGTATATACGACGAAGACGCCCTTTTCGAGACTACTATCGAAGTTATAGCTCGTCGCGGTATATACTGCGACGTCTACGCCCTTCCGGATCGTAGAGGTGTTAACGTTCCTCGCGTCTACCAATTAGAGGCCGCGGTTGGCCCATTTTAAGCCGCACTAAGCCTAAAGGGGCCCTAACTTTTGTTGAGTTGTTATATTTTAGATAATACTAAAAAGTAATATTAATCCGGAACGCGTTATAGATATTAGAAAGCACTATTTAGAAACGCTTATAGCGAGCACTATTAGGAACGCTTATAGCAAGATAGTCTTAAATATCTATAGTAACTACTTCCGGAATATGCCTATAGTAATTACTATCCGGAATACCTATAGCGAGTACTATTCGAAATATCTATAGTAAGTAGTTCTTTCCGAGTTAGAACGCTTATAGCAAGTACTACCTATAAGGCGTATAGTAAGTACTACCTATAAGGCGGATACTAAGTCTAAACGCGTAGGACAAGCTAACTACTATCTATAACGCCTACAGAAAGTCTAATTTAGAACGTTTATAATAGTAACTTAGTAAGTACTATTCGGAACGCGTATAGCAAGTCTAATCCGGAGCGCTAATAGTTAGTACTACTATCTATAACGCTTATACCAAGTTCTATTTAGAACGCGCTATATAGCAATTCTAATCCGAAACGCCTATACTAAGTCTTATCCGAAACGCGTAGAGTAAGTACTATCCGGAACGCGTATAGTAGGTCTAATTTAGAACGGTAATAGTAAGTACTATTACGAACGCTTATAGTAAGTAGTACTTTCTAAAATACCTATAGTAAGTACTATTTAGAATACTTATAGCAAGTTATATCCAAAACGCTTATAGTGAATACTACTAAAAACGCCTATAGCGAGTAGTAATATTCGAAACGCCTATAGCGGTAACTATCTAAGATATCTATAGCGAGTAGTACTATCCGGAACGCGTAGGACAAGCCTTATTTTAAACGCTTAGTATAGTTCGTCCTATATAAACCGGAACGCGTATAGCAAGTCTAATAATCTAATCCGAAACGCCTACAGAATGTCTTGTCCGGAATGTATAAAGTAAGTCTAAGTCTAATCCGAAACTAAATACTTATACGAAGCACTATCCGGAAGGCCTATAGCGAGTAGTACTATCCGGAACGCTTATAGCAAATACTATCTAAAACGCCTATAGTTAAATAGCATTCGAACTATCTATAGCGAGTACCCTATATAACGCCTATAGCGAGTACTCTATAGAATATCTATAGCGAGTAGTACTATCCGGAACGCGTAGGATAAGCTAACTATTATCTATAACGCCTATAATAGGTCTAATTCAGAACGCTTATAATACTAAGTACTATTTAGAACGCGTATAGTAAGTCTAATAACTCTAATCCGGAGCGCTAACAGTTAGTACTACTGTCTATAACGCCTATACTAAGTTTTATTTAGAACGTACTATATAGCAATTATAATCCGAAACGCTTGTACTAAGTCTTATCCGGAACGCGTAGAGGAAGTCTATCCGGAACGCAAATAGCAAGTACTATTAGGAACGCTTATAGCAAGTAGGACTATCTAAAATACCTATAGTAAGTGCTATTTAGAATACTTATAGCAAGTCTAATCCGAAACGCTTATAGTAAATACTACTAAAAACGCTTATAGCGAGTAGTAATATTCGAAACGCTTATAGCGGTAACTGTCCGAGATAGCTATAGCGAGTAGTCCTATCCGAAACGCTTATAGCAAATACTATCTAAAACGCCTATAGTTAAATAGGATTCGAACTATTTATAGCGAGTACCTTATCTAACGCCTACTATAAGTACCCTATAAAACGCCTATAGCGAGTAGTACTATCCGGAACGCGTAGGATAAGCCTTTCGAGCCTACCGCTCCGAGCAAATACCGCCGGATTAGGCGCGAACGATACCGCCTCGAGCAAAAAACGCCGCCGGATTAGGCGTAAACGACGGAGACGGCCTCGGAAACACTGCTATCGCGGCGCCGGAGCGTTATAGTCGATCCTACGACTCCTACGCCTTCCGGACCGCGCGAGAATCGAGAAATTTTGAAGTTCCTCGCCGCCGACCAATTAGAGTCGGCTTTTCGGTCGTTTTGAGCCGCACTAAGCCTAAAGGGGCCCCAACTTTTGTTGAGTTGTCATATTATTGACATATTATAGACGTTTGCGCAGAATGTGCATTGCATCAGATCAACTTCACTCCAAATGTCTCTCCTTTCGCACATGACCGACTTTCCTCAAGCAGAAACGAACAAGACGAAGGGGTGCTGCCACCGCTGTCAGAATGCTACTAAAAATGCTGTAGCAGCGTCAAGCATAGAAGAGGTGCTGGAGCAGTGCAGTCTGTGACAAGCAAGTACACCGTGCCATGATAGTCGACAGGGCAGGACGGGTAGAGCGAGCAAAAAGACCTCATCATCACGTTTGCGTTCCCGCGAGCAGGCCATCTCAATTCTATCGAACCCGCATATGACCTCGAAATCTTTCTCGGCCTCGCACCATGCCAAAGGAACATAGCACAGGGTTCTGGAAAATTGACCTGAACACTTTCCAGCCTCAGTATAGCTCCGCAGCCACGCCGATGATTCTCGGCGCCAAATGTCAACATACACGGCAGTCTGTCCTGCTATGGAGTGACGGCTATATGGAAGCTGCGCTAGGGACCTGATACCAGAACTCCACTTGCCATCCGTCTTGCGCCTGCCAGAATAATCGCAGACCTAAAGCGATGGAAAGAAATGCTTACAAACCCCCGAATAGCTAAGGACAAGCGACGAGGAAGGAATGGAAAGCTCTTGATCGCCTCATCCACCACTACGCATCCTTCTACTGCCATCGTGAATGTCACCCGATCAACAGTCGCATACAACCTTGGGCACAGGCATCTGAAAGACCACAACAAGCAACAGGTAAGGTATCATGACGAACTCTCAAGTCCGCTGCACACTTCTCCCGATTCTGCCTTACATGAAGTCAAAAATCATCATGCCAGGTATCATCCAACCTCCATCAAGTTTCGGCATTCAGAAGAATTTCTAAGTCGTCCGACTATTCTCCAATTTCGTAACCAGAATATCCGTAGCTCCCAAATCCGTCAAATCATCCATGACCACCGCAATTTCTTTCCTTTTCACCATCGCTTGCACGGCAACCCAGCCGTCTTCTTCGAGATTCTGAACTGTAGGTGCACGTTTGCCTAAAGAGAAGAAACTTTTAGCTTCGTGTCTAGATTTGGAGTCAGGACTACGTAACCTACCTGGCGTGATTTTTCTCGCTTTGTCGAGATTTGCGCGCTCGACGTTGTAGGTGCAGAGGACGTATTTTTGTGCGGTGATGACGCCACGGATACGGCTTTCGATGAGGGAGATGAGTTTTGGGTCTGATGGGTGTTTGGATTGGATCAACACTGCTGTTGAGTCGATGACTGTGGCGATGGCTTTTAGGCCTGCTGCTCGCATTGTTTCGCCGGATTCTGTATGCATGTTAGTGAGAGTTCTCAGTTCTCAGCAGCCGAAGAGGGCAATGCTGCCTGTGAGGTGACTTCCACAAGATGGAGCTATCTTGTCATGGTCATTCAGGGAGAAGGCTCACTTACCCACAAGATCGACAATGCCATCTGCTACGCCAAGCGCACAAGCTGCTTCCACACTGCCACCAACAAATCTGATATTGGTTTTGAGTTTCGCGTCGCCGTTCACTCCGTTGGTCTGCTGCGAGTCGTTGGATTCCAGTTTCCGAAAATATTGCTCGGTTAATGCTGTGAAGCTTGTCACGACATTCTTGCCGACTAGCTGCTCTGGAGTCTGAATTTCGCCCTTCTCTGGTACTTGGACTTGCAACTTGCATCCCCCGAACTCCAGATCCATGACTTCTACCACGCCCGTAGTGTCGGTTGGTGGCGCCGTGGCTTCATGCTCGGCAACAACATCGCGTCCCGTAATGCCAAGATCGACTCGTCCTTCACCGACGAATGTTGGGATGTCTGCAGCAGGGAGGAAGATAAGTGCCAGAGGCAAGTTCTTAACCTACATCGGACGCTCATTAGCACATTGCTCCACGGCAGCGGCTCCAAGATATGTAGGCCAACTGGGGCTGCTCTCTCCCAAGCGAGAGATTTTGGCACTCACCAATGCCAAGTCTAGTCGGTTGTGCCTGTGGAATTGAATATCGGAGCCAGATAGTAGATCCAGGCATGCTTGATTGAGTCGTCCTTTCTTGGGTACGGCAAAGAGCAGTCGATCGTTCAGGCTGTCGGATAGAGAGTCAGTAATGACTGGCAATGATCGACTAAAGCGTCGTCCGAGAGTTGGAGTTGCCGCCATGATGGAGAAGAACGTACTGGCTCACGAGATCCATGGCGAGGGGGAGATCTCTCTTGAGATTTTTTGAGATGTGTCGCTGCTGTGCTTGTGTTCTGGCAAACAGATGTCGTCTTCGTGCACCGCCAGATGGTAAGTAGGTAATACCCAATGGCTTGGCCGAGTGACTCAGGTACACGTGGGCGAGCCGATGTCCTCGAGTTGACGCTGCGCGCAGGCCTTGCAACACAGTCGCGGAGCTGCTCTACAAGCGCTGCTTCGGCTTGCTAGTCAAACAGCAATGCTTGCTTGCAAATATTTGGTCGCAGTAGCACTTCACTCGTCCAAGAAATTCTTGGGCAGAAACATTTGGTAGTCGCGGGAGCGTGAGGCACCAAGGCCGAAATCTTGGCAGAGCCACTTTCGAGCCGAACCCGAGCTTTGGCAATTCTCGAATTTCAGACTACGCCGCCGCTTCACAGGACAGCAGACCGCCCATCGTACCGCGCACCTCGACAAGCACACCAGTCCACCCGACAAATAACAACACAACTGCGCAAAGATGGATTCCGCAAAGTGAGATTTCCCGCGAAGCAGCCCATGGCTAAGAAGGAAATACTGATTGCATTTGCGCAGGGTCCCAGTCAAGCTCGTCAAGGTCACCCGCGTCCTCGGCCGTACCGGTATGTGGAAGAAAAGAGCATGAGAAAATACGAGGAGAGAAGGATGAATTCTGATGATATACAGGCTCCCGTGGTGGTGTCACCCAGGTCCGCGTTGAATTCATGGACGACACAACCCGTTCCATCATCCGCAACGTCAAGGGTCCAGGTGAGAAGAGACCACACAATTTTGTGCAAAGGAACAGGATACTGATCGTGATGCGCAGTCCGTGAGGATGACATTCTCTGCCTCCTCGAGTCTGAGCGTGAGGCCCGCAGACTGAGATAAGCGTGGAAGGAAACGAGAGGAGTGGTGGAGAGCCTGGGGATTATGGCATTCATGAATTGAGGACAAGACACTTTTCAGCGGGGTGTGCAATAGCTGGCGTTTGTTGTGGCTAGGTCTAGGCACAGGCTATCATGCAGTGACAGAAAGTCCTGCCGACTTCGAAAAATGCGAATCGTGGTTCACGCCATTTCTTGACAGACATCATACTGTACTTGCGATGCTCCTTACTTTGCCTGACTTGACTTTATTTCCTTGAATAGCGATACTTGTTACAAGACACGTCTAGAGATCTTGGGTTGGGAAGAGTGTACAGACTCAAAGCGCCGCCGGGAACATGTCTGGCACGTATTCATGTGCGCAGGGTCACTGTCACGTCTACTTGCGAAAAACGAGATTGGCAGTCATTAAGCGAGCTGACCGCCAGCCCCATCGGCGTCCATCTCACGCTCTCTCAACGCTATTTACAGTCGCCATGTCCAAAGTTCATGACTTGACTGCATTCCTCCTCATCCGCATCGCATCGCATATCGCCCGCGGTCTCTCATGTCCCCTCTTCGTACGCTCTCACTGTCCCCCAAATTCCCTCATCTTCCATGATGAATGTAAGGCAAAAACGCAGGTGACTCCATCAGCCATGACAATGCGGTCAAGCGGCTCGGCCAAGAAGCCTAAAAGCGCCTACAAATGTTTTTCTAGTACGCCAATATGACCAGCCAGTCCACGGAGAATCAGAAGATCTGTTGGTTGATTATGCGTTCCAAAGTTATGAATGTGTGTGTGTGGAGAGGAAAGAAAGGAAAGAGAAGCTGATTGAGATTTGGGTACGAATGAGTGCCAAGAGAAATGGACCGTGCCGCGCGGGAAAGAACCGGCCGCACATTTCGACTTCGACTTCGACTTCCTTTTCTTCATCAACATGGACAACGCATTCATGAAGACGAGTTCGGCATGAGGGACTTCGTACACCAGCCGCGCCAGCCAGCGAACAGACTTCCAGGCGGAGTGGCAAAGGTAGGTCACCGAAGCCAAGCTACACGCAGAGACGCGTCCAAACACTACTGCAAAGACGAACACGAACACCACGATTTGCCTGCTTCCTGGCCATATCACTGCCTGCCAAGCATACTTCATCAATCAGTGGAAGAGCAAAACTTCGCGAGAAGGGGGTTTTAGCAGGCCCTTCGTCCTCTCCACCCTTCTGATTTGCCCTTTTTGAATTCTTGTGGCTCAGATAGGACTATTTAATGGACGGACATTCATGTGCTGTACTTTGACGGAGGTGTTGAGGGGCGAGCGGTCCGTATACTGTATACAGGTTGAATCTCTACATTGACATTGTTTCTTCGTTGTCGCTGCGTCGTATCGTGCTGAGGGCATTGCTACAGGCACGCTTTGATATGCATGTGGCCGAACATCTCCGGCGACGTCGTTTGCACCAACAAAATTCTCCTACCCTTGTAACACGCCGACGAAATTCTTTTTCCACTCGTACACGCCGCCTTCTGATCTTTAACTCGTAATTAATATTGCTTGCTCTTCGACATTTCGGGCGTAATGGCACCTCCAGTCTTTGGAATCAAGACCACTGAAGTAAAGGGCTATGGCGTCTTCGCACTCAAGCCGATATTGAAAGGCACGATCATTCTTCGAAATCGCAGAGTCCTGACTATCAGCAAGCCTACGAAAGATGTCACTCGGCGAGATACAGAGCTGGCATGTTCCAAACTCAATCCGAAAGACCAGAACGCTGTCATGCAACTTGCCGAATATCACAAGCCCGACATGGACGAGACGAAGCTCCAACGGATTCTTCGGACAAACTCTTTCGGCCGGCTACCTTTACCTCACAATCTCTCGCATAAATCACGCTTGCGTACCCAATGCAAGCCATCAAGACGGCGTCATAATAGCAGAGGAAACCATTGCTACTGGAGAGGAGATCTCCATTTCGTACGACTCCGACAAGTATGAGTGTCTCACAGCAGAACAACGAGGCAAGATCATTCAGAACACTTATGGTTTCCAATGTGACTGCATAGCCTGTCGGGCATCAGACATTCGGATGATATCCGACGCCAGAAGACAGCTGATCCTCCATCTCAAATCAGCCCTACAAGGATTCCAGCCACCCGATCTCAACTTTTTGAATACTGCAACGCAGACAGGCCTGTGGCATTTGGACTGGCCGCCCACTCGATCTCGATTACCAAGACCTCTGAGCAAGACTCAAAAGATCGAATACACCTTCCTCCTAGCCAAGCTTCGTGAAGCAGAAGGCCTCCCAGGCGTGACTATCGGCAAAGCCTACTCTGAGGCCGCATGGCTCCTATTCCAACATCTGGAAGACTACGTGCTGGAAGTAAGTCCAGACTCAAGCCCCACTCTCTGAATTAACCTCGCTAACCCTCCTTCTCCAGTGCCCATTCCTCGAAGATCTCGTCTTCCTCGAACCCGCTCGTTGCGTTCAAGCCTGGATGCTAAAAGCCCTCGACCTCTACCAAAAGAGTTGTCCACCTGGACATCAAAATCTGCGTACCATGCAAGAAAATTGGGTTGAAATGCGCCAGTTGCGCTTCGTCGGCGACTCAAATCTGGCAGGAAGGTTTGTGAGTATGACAGCGTTGAGGAGATTTTGAGAATTGACCTTCAGACAGCCTGCGGGTGCTTTTGCTGTTCGGCTCGCCACTCCAATAATCAGCGCGCTTCGGCCCAAGCGAGGCTTGTCGATGGCGGAATGCGAGAGACTTGTTCGTGAACGGGCAAGCATGAACTGAAGAGAGGCTACTGGATCATCCGACTGCCCGTACGCACATCGAGCCTCATTGCCAGTAATAAGGAATTTTCGATGGTTTCGCGTATCGACAGCTTTGAATGTTTGCTGGCCAGACTGTGGCCATCTTCTGCTGTGAAACCTTGAATAATGCTGCATGGAAAGGCGCTCGTTCATGTCTGCACGATTGTGCTTTTGCTTTTCACAATAAGCTGGCACCTGAATTCGGAGCGGATCGAGCCTTCTCGCGAAACCTCGTCGCAATCTCACAGGTCGGTCTCTTCCAACCGACTTGTCCATGACGACGAGCAACGAGTCTTCAGTCTGGTAATAGTAAGTCCGACTTTGCCGTCGCCCACCAGAGATATGCCAGCAAGCAACAAAGCTATTTCTACGACCCCCTCATCGGCCTTCCCGAACACGCTATCGTCTCTTTATAGCCGCTTCCAAGCCTCATCAGGCCCTGTTCTCTTTCGTAATATATAGCATATTATCGTCCATTAATATGCTTAATATAGCTGTTCTCTTTCATAATATAGTGTTGACTCTAAGCCACCTAATCTCGCTGCTCGCTGCCCTCTTCCGGCAGGTATAGGCGTGTTTTAATAGCAGGATTAAGCAGAGTGAAGTAATAGATTTGCGATACGCCTAGAGCGTATCGCAATGCGCTTTTACTAGGGGTTGCTAACCGCCTACGCTTCTTCGAGCCGGTTAGAGAGCTATATTTATTCTTCGTAGACACCTTCTTCTTAGAAGACTTCGGAGCTATAGTTATAACACACTAATATAGACTGCAATAGCATAGAATATAGATACTATCTATACACGAAGTTAGAGCCGCCGCTAAGAGCTAGAAAGCTTAAAAACCGGTCTTGTTCTCTTTAATAATATAGACAATATGCGCTAGTTAAATCGACCTTATTAATCTCGACTAATATGCTATATATTACGAAAGAGAATAGGGCCTTATAGGCTTATAGCTAGATAACGCTAGCATCTACGAACCTTTGCCGAGATTGCTTAACCGTCTACCCGTAGCGAGGTAGTATAGTACCCGAGAAACTAGCATAGTATATATATTTAATTAGGACAATAATAGATGTAATAAAATTGCTATAATAAACCTTACGGGCTTAGATTACATCCCTAGTTAAGGCCGTAGCGAACTTAGATATTTAGTAGGCCTATACGACATCCTTAGCTAAGTAGTTAGCTTAACCGTATATCGTATAGAGAACCGAAGAGAGTATGTAATATAGCGCTTTTATTTCTTCTTACAAGGCTATACTACTAGGGGCTATACTAAATACCGCATATACGGTCTTTTTACCCCTACGCTCGTTACGAAGAGTAACTTGCTATAGAATACGGAGGAAGAAAGAAATTAGACGAGAAATTAGACGAGAAATTAGACGAGAAATTAGACGAGAATTTAGACAACGTTTATTCGCGACGTTTTTAAAAATAAAGATACTAATAGCCTCCGGCGGAAGGGGCAGTATCTCGTATAGAATAGTACCCCTACGCCTTAAGTATACCTTACGGACGGGTCCCCCCTTCCTACGGTCGTACCTCTCTACAGAGGGACCCCGCCGTCCGACGGTCTCGGCTAGCGAGAGCCCCTACTATTCTTTGCCCTAGGGCGGAGTAGGATTCCGAAGAGAGGGGGGGGGCGACAGCGAGGTTAGATTTGCTAGAAAGGGACCCCTACGCGAAATATATATACCGCGTCTACGCGATATATATCCCCTATCCTCCTATATATTAAAGTTAGCGGTAAATAGAGGGAGGGATAGAACTTATAGCGACAGCGAGGTTATTATAGGAAAGAGGAAGAACGCGATAGGAAGATATATATATATATACCGAGAAGTAAACAAACATCCTGTTTAGGACGTAGGGGTATGCGGTATTAGATTTAGTGCCGTGCTGCGAGGCACTGCCTAGCTGTCGCCTTATACGATCTATCCGTAGCTTCCGTTCCTACCGCTACCTCTACGAGGTAGTTGCAAGCTACCTTATAATTTCTACTTTTTCGACAAGTTACATTATAATATAACTATACTACTATTGTAACTACTATTTCGCTTTCCTAATCGCTTTACTACGTACTTATCGAATTTCTAACAATACCTCGAGTCTATAACACCGCTAGTGCGCGTATACGCCGCCCTATCGCTAAACTAACGCTATACGCGCACGAAGAAGCCCGCATTTAGGCGGTTTTAGATAAGATACTATCCTTCTACTAAGACTACGACGATTACGTGCCTAATATTAAACAATAGTCTACCGACGAGCACGTTAGCTATTAGAAGCTTCGCTTTCGATATCTAAATGCTATAGGTCGTCGTAGTAGTCGTAGTGCGCTAACTAAGCGACAGCTACCAAACATAAAGATAAAGCCTACTTAGCAAGCAGCCCTCCTCGAATACTGCCGTAGACGCGAGGTTATAGGCCTAGACATACCTATACGGCTATTATACTGCATTGCTAACGAAATCCTTCTTCGCAATACTATAGATCTACTTAATCTATCTTTAGTCGATAGGCGCTAGACGAAGAGGTTTATAAAGGAACATAGGCTTTACTAGGTGTTGTAGAAGCCGATTGAAATAGCAAGGAAGGAGGCTTATAAACCTAATCAGATAAGACGATAGTATATACGGCTACAATAGACAATGGCATACTATAAGATTGCTAATCTACGTCTTATATAGAACTTCGACGAGACTAGTTTCCGGATTAGTATTAGAGGCAAGGAATACGTCGTTACAATAGACCTAAAACGTCGCTCTTAGAGCGCGTCTAAGACTAACCGGAAGCATATAACCTCTGTTGAATTAGTTAATGCCGCAGATAACTATATACCGCCTATATTAATCGCTGCTAGCAAGGTGTTATAAGAACGATAGTTTACTAACCTGTCCGGCTCGACCCTAGTTAATGTAATAGAAAGTAGGTATTTAAACGACAACTCGGCCTATTACTACATTCAGCACTTCTATAAGTATTCGAAACGATACATAGCTAACTAGGACCAATGGCGCATACTAATATGCGATAATTATAGCTCTTACGACTTCTAGGAGTTCTTGGAATTTGCATAGTCTTACAAGATAGTAGTCTTCGGCCTACTAGCTTACACTTTACACTTCCTTTAACTACTAGATATAGTCCTATTCTAGCCATTTAAACACTATCATAAGCAAGCTGTAATAGACGCTATACGTACTAGTTATATACAGTTTAGCGTAACCGAGTTCATAGCCGCAATCGACTCTATTCGAACTAACACCTTTAAGCCGAGTAGCATTAAATCCTCTTTCCGCAAGACAGGTCTCTTTCTGTACGATCCGGAGCGCGCTATAGAGTTCCTTAGGCTCGAATACAACGCTAGTAATACTATACAATATTGGCAGAAGCGCGAACGATTAGACGCGCTTGCTATCGACTATATAGACCGAGTTATAGACTTAGTCGGAAGCCTAGAATACCTCCGCGGAGATAACTATTCGCCGACTATTCCTTAACGCCTCTGTAACCTAGAGGTGCCTTAGCTAGTAGTAGAGAGCTAGACCGGATTAATAAGTATACGGACTACTACAAGACATACTAACTTCCTCTAATAGAGGCTCGAAGGCCTCCTATCGTTACTATCCGCCGAGGTAGTTAGGCGGCTATTTACATATACTAAGGTTAATACTCAATTAGCCGCCTAAGCAACCTTCGACCTCTCTTAAACCGAGGCAGCAACTCGAGTACGTAAACGACGAGAAGAGGCCTCTTTAAGGCCTATTGTTGCTAGCGGTCTATTGTATGCTTCGAAGGCAAGGAAGGCTATTAAGAAGCGGAGGTTTAACGACGAATAAGCAGCACTTCAATAGGCTAGGGATAAGGCAAGGCGCTCGAGAACGTTATAGACTAACTATAAGAAGCGCTGTCGCAAGGCTCTTAATGTAAGCGTTAACAGTCGTCCTAATACGAAAGTTAAGGTCCAACTATTGCGTGAAACAGGCTATAATCTATAGTCTACTAGCGGTTAGTTAGTAAAGACATATAAGCTAACCGAGCTACTACTACTAGAAGCGCTTAAGGTCTTTCCTATTCTACGCATAATAGTCAAAATCGCCGGAGCTAAGAAGACTATAGTTTCCGTCTATAACGTGCTTACCTACGGTAGTAAGCCTAGCAGTAACATTAATCCGGATACTAAAGAAGAAGGTCTACTTAAGCCCTTATACAAGCTTGTTATTTAGACTTATAAGGAAGAAGAGCGTAGACAGCAATAAGCTATAGTTGCTATAAGGTAGGCGGCTAAGAAGCGCTTAATAAAGCAGTTCAGAAGAGACAATAGCATAATAGATAGCAGCGATTATAGTAGTAGACTAAGTAACGACGATAAGCTAATACCTGTCTAGTAGTATATACAGCCTGCTATACTACTGCGTAGTCTATCTAGTAGGTACGACTTGCCTATTAGGTCGTTACTACTATTGCCAGTTTCCTCGCTATAGCCGGTTTCCCTAGTATTGCCTAAGAATAGTAAGTAAACACAGCAATATAGTAGACCTATAACACTACCTAATAGTCTATATTATATATAGAGGTCTTTATTATATTCTATAGGTCTTGTTTGCTCGATTTGGTGCCAATCTACCTATATTATAATGTAACTTGTCGAAAAAGTGGAAATTATAAGGTGGCTTGCAACCACCTCGTAGAGGTGGCGGCAGGAACGGAAGCCACGGATAGCGCACTGCTATTCTGAATACTCAATTTCAGCTAGAGCCTTGGCGTCGGTAGCTTACAGGTCAGCTCCAGGCCTTCTATCTAGTATCCGCACGCTCAAGTCCGCTGCATATTTCTGCACAGGAATACGATGCTCGCCACGCACTTGAACGGGCCGTCGCGGCATGGCTGTAATGGCCTGAGCTGAATGAAAGTACACCTAAGTCGGCGTACCCATGTCGTGAGACAACTACTACTTCTTAAAGACGTGTGCTTGGTTCGATTGCTCGGAGCACTTTCGTTAATCGGAGCAAGAATGGCAATTGGCAAGAAGGTCTTGCTCTTGGCTTCGGCGATTTGTGTCCATGCATTGCCAGCCGGTCCAACTGATGGAGCACAACAGGCATGGGACGTGATCATTGTCGGTAAGCGGTGAGCCATCTGACAGACCCTGTCTTCAAGACTTACGACATTGTAGGTGCTGGACCTGCTGGAATTGTCACTGCAAATCGCATGAGTGAGGCAGGCAAGAAGACATTATTGCTTGAACAGGGCGGACCAAGTTACTACATTACTGGAGGACGAGATCGACCACCCTGGCTGGACAACACTCAGTTGAGCCGCGTAGATGTGCCGGGATTATACAAGTCGATCTTTTCGAACCAAGGCAACCTCACATGCCAGGGCAAAGTCGATAAGTTGTTTACCGGATGCACAATTGGTGGTACCTCTGCTATCAATGCAGAGCTCTTTTTCCAGCCTCCAGACTCAGACTTTGATCGATACTTCCCGGATACTTGGAAGTCTAAGGACGTAGCGAATGCAATTGCCAAAGTGCACAAGGCCCAGCCATCTACGGACACCCCATCCAAAGATGGTAAACGATATCTACAGAGTGGCTATGATGCTGCGCAAAAGTGGTTAGTCGGAGGCGCAGGCTACAGTCAAGTCGACTTCAAGCAGCAACCTAACCAAAAGACCAAGGCATTTGGTCATCCTTACTTTGCCTATGAAGACGGACAACGAAGTGGACCCGTCAAGACATACCTTCAGGCCGCGCTGTCCCGATCGAATTTCCACCTCATGAGCGGAGTGCAAGTCAAGAAGGTCATCCGGAATGGTGCCCAAGCCACTGGTGTCGAGGCAACAATCGACGGCACCAAGACCACCTTCAACACTGCAAACAACGGCAAGGTCATTCTCAGTGGAGGAGCTCTCTTCAGCCCGCAACTCCTAATGCTTTCAGGAATCGGCCCACCCGACTCGCTCACAAACCTCTCCCACAATGGCCTCCTCACCACGCCCTCATCATCCTGGATCAACAACACCGCCGTCGGCGACGGTCTCTACGACAATCCCAACACCTTCATCCTCCTCTCCGGCCCAAGCGTGGAGGCATATCATTGGGACTACAGCTCCCCAATCCCCTCCGACCGCGACCTCTACCTGACCTCCCATTCCGGCCCCTACGCCTTCGCCGGCGAAACCACCACCTTCTGGGACACCATCACCTACCCCAACGGCGACACCGTCACTCTCCAAGGCACGCTCGACGCCGTAGGTTTCAGCAAATTCACCGGCAAAAACGACATCACCTTGAACGTCTACGGCACCTCCGGCATAAAATCCACCGGCCGCGTCTCCCTCAACGAAAAAGGCATCCCCGGTGTCGCGACACCTTTCCTTTTATCCAACCCCCAAGACGTCGATGCGATTTCCACATTCGTGAAATCTATCTTGACGCATTTAGAAGGTAGTCCCCTCACATCTCTCAATCTCCCTCCTAATGCGACGAAAGATGAGATTTCGAGGTATATTACCACGCCTTCGGAGTTTACGCTTGGGTATGTGAATCATTGGAGTTCGAGTTGTGGGTTTGGGGGGTGTGTGGATGCGAATGCGAAGGTTAGGGGGATGGGGAATTTGTTTGTGGTGGATGCGAGTATTGTTCCGCCTTTGAGTGTGAATCCGGTGTTTGGGATTATGGTCGTGGCGGAGAGGGCGTGTGAGTTGATTTTAGGGTTGAAGTAGGAAGTAGGGAGGGAGTTGCTTTTCCTTTGGATTCTTTTACTGTGGGTTAGCGTTGGCGCTTTATAGTGATGGATGGATGGATGCATTGGAAAGTAGGAGTGTGTCTCGAAATCCTTTTTCTTGAGACTGACTGTACGGGCTTCATTCACTTTTCACTTCTTCTTAACAACCCAACTCACCATCTCCGAATCAATCACGCTCCCTCTACCAAGTTGATAACACTCCTCCTCAACCTCCGTACACAGAGCCTCAATCTTCGCAGCAATTTCATCCTGTCCCCGCGCCTTCATATTCGCAACCCACTCCCTACACGCAAGGAACGTGATCTCTTGCTTCAACCCCAGCATTTCTTTCGCAGTCCAGACCCTCTCATTGACAAGCAATTCCCCACCTTCTCGTTCAAACCTCGTATGCATATTGAGGACCCAATTCATATCCGGGAAATTCGCGGCAGCGGTTCCTCGGAATTCGTCTCTCAGGGCTTCTAACTTCGGCGCAGAAGCGCTAGGTTCGGCGAGGATAAGTTTGTCTATACTAGGGTTATATTCTTGCTATTAAAGATATTCGCTAGGTTTTAGAAGTTTAAGGAGGTAACGGAGTAAGGGTGTTAGGTCGCCTTTTTCTACGACTAGTATAAAGAGGCGGATATATACGATATCGTAGCGGGCTATAAGGTTTTCGGGGATTAGATCGAAGATATTAAGGTACTAGAAAGTTACGTTTAGTAGTAACTATTTTTTTAGTAGGGTTTAGGCTAAGGAGATATCGAAGGCTTCGATTATAGTATTATTATAGCGTTTTAGAGTTATAGTACGAGTAAAAGGGACTAGATTCCCGTCCTATATCTAATATCTACGATTAGGGCGTTATCTAGGACGGGAATTTTAGGATAGAGAAGGAAGCCGGTACTTATTACCTAGAGCTAGTATTAGAGGTCGAGTCTTATTAAAGCTATAGCATTTCTACTAAATAGATATTATTCGACTTATAGTTTTCCTTCTATTGCCTCGGCTTCTAGGCTAGGTATAGAGCTTTAGTAGAGAGAGTTAAATCTTAATAGTTTCCCTAATCGTATTATTAGGACGAGTAGATATTACTAATTTCTATATACGGAAATGCTCGTATATATACTAATTCTATATAAGAAGGGTTATATTAGTAGGTAGATAGGGTAGTAGTAGGTACAAGTAGTATTCGATAGAGAACTAGGAGGAGAAGGAGGAAGGTAGGCTAGTTAGCCTAACGCTAAGCGCCAAGCCCTACCTAAGGCACTAAGACCCTAGCTTTACTCGGCCTAATTATATGCTAGTTACGTATAGCCTCTTTAGCCCTAATATACGCTTCCCTTCTAAAGGCCGCGCCCTCGTAGCCTGTCTATATTCCAATCTCGACCTCTATTGCTACTAACTTAGCAAGTCTAATAAGCTGCTTAGCCGCGCTAAATTAAATACTTAACTACCTAATTATATAACTATATTAAACCTTACCTCTAATACAATACAATGTCTAACTCTAACTGCGCTATTCTTGTATATAATAAAGTAATATAGTACTATAAGAATTAAGGACTATCGACTAATTATAATACGAGTACACCTTCCCTACTATAATAGGTAGGTATACGGGGTATTGTAGTACTGCCCCCGTTCTAAGTAATGTCGTACCGAGTTCTCTACGTCTACTCTTAAAAGACCTAGAAATGTCCGCTTCCGAGGGTTGTCTGCTTCCGAGGGTTATTATTCTTATTATTACGAGGACTATTATTTACTGTCGTAGTTTTACTAGCCCTAATTAGTTAGGTTTAGCAGCCTTTAATTGTCAATCTTATCTTATCTTTTAAAAAACACAGCTCGTCTAGTTTCTATAAGTAAAGGCTATTATAAGTGTAGTAGTAGAGGTTCGTTTCGCTTAAAGGGTCGGAAAGATCGAGGAGTAACCTATTGTCCGCAAGATCGACCCCGGCTAGCTTAGCTCTATAGTTTTTGCTCTTAGTTAGTTAGTCTATTAAGCTACTTAATCTTTTAGGCGGCTTAAAGTTTTAATTAAAGTTTTAATTAACCCCTTAGTACCTTAGGCTCGTAGTATAGGTAAGGTTATATCTATAGGCGTAGTAACAATAGCAAGTAATGTTAATAATAGCGGCGCTAGCCGTCTTAGCGCTAACTTTACCTTACTTCTAATTTCCTTCTTTAACTAACAACAACTCGGCAATACTATTACTAATATAGCTATATCCTTTCTTTCTTAAATAGCAATATACTCCGCAACACCGTTACTAATATAGCCGCGCTAGCCGCGCCGTCGTTATTATTATTATTACTATCCGCGCGCTATCCCCGCCGACCGTCTAGGCCCCGAGATCTTAATAGAATAAGAGAGGGCGCTAAGAGGAGGGTCTTATAGAGTGCGCTAGTAAAGAGGTAGTTTCCTAGAGGAGTAGCGAATAGTTAACGCGTTATAGCGCGCTTATTAACACTCGGTGCGCGTTCGCTATAGTAGTATAGTCTTATTGTCCTAGTTTACCGGCCCCTAATTAGTTAGCTAATAGCACCCTAGGGGTAGCATTATTCCTAGGCGACATTATAGGCCCTTAGCCTTCTTCTTATTCTTTACACTAGTCTAATATTTATCTAATAACTTAGTTATGTCTTTAAAAGAGGCTTTAGCTTCCTACGAGTCCTATTTAGGTAAATAGCCTTACTATCTTAGGAGGTATTCCTTCTTGCCTTGCCTAGTCCGGTGCTTTAGAATACGTTCTATAGACTACAGCTCTTCCCTATCGGCTAAGACTTCTTCTAACTTAGTAGGCGCTTTATCGCCTTCGCGCTAGTAATATAGTTTAAGGAGGGATACGTAGAAGGTATTATAAATAGTGTAATAGGGTAGAAGCTATAACTAATAGGCCTATACGGAGGAGCCCTTAACTTCTCGAATACGGAATAGGCTAATATACCTTAGTGCGAGCTTAGGCCTTGTTTTACTATCGGGTAATAGGTGCTTACAAATACGGAGGTTCTTAGTGCTTAATATAACTATATAGACCCCGTAGTGGTTCGGTTTCTAAACTACCAAACGTATATAGTTTGGTTTCTTAGCGGCGAACTAGCTCCCTAGTTCCGGTTTAGTTTTTTCGAACTATATAGATTCCTAGTTTAAACTAGAGACTGTATTAGTTTTACTATAAGGACACTCTTATTCGACTACCGGCTACGATTGCCGGCTATAATAGTAACTCTGTTACATTTACTACGCTCTTTTACCGTTGCTAGGGCGTAGTTGCCGTTACTAGGGCGTAGTTGCCGTTGCTAGGGCGTAGTTTTGCTATAAGGACACTCTTGTTCGACTATCGGCTACGATTGCTAGCTATAATAGTTACTAGGTTGTATTTACTACGCTTTATTACCGTTGCTAGGGCGTAGTTGCCGTTGCTAGGGCGTAGTTACCGTTGCTAGGGCGTAGTTGCTATTACCGGGGCGTAGTTACCGTAGTTACGAAAGCTTACCTATATAACGTTACGTAAGCGGCAATAATTAGGGCTTCGCGATATTCTTATACTTTCAACTTCTTCCTCTATACCTATACCGATAATAACTACTATACGCTACGCCCCCGCCCCTTTCCCTTATAATAGTAAGAGAGAAGTGCGCCGCGCGCTAAATAGAAAATAGAACTAAAGACCGCGAGTTTGTTTTACCTAAGCGTCTAACTAAAAAGTATAAGACTAAAGAGGAGTACTCTACGAAGAAGAATTCCGTACGAGACCGCGAGAGAAAGGAGAAGATAGATAAGGATAAAAGAGCTAAAGATAAGAGAAGAAAGGCGCGAAATAAGGCATTCTATCGATAGCTAGCGCCTATAGAAAAAAGTAAAGGTTAGAATAAGAAGATAACCTAAAAGAAGGCTAAAAGGAGGAAAGAATTGCGGCTAGTTTTCGAGCGTAAAGTTCTAGTAGCGTAAGTTAATCTAGCTAGCGGCCGTAGCTAGTAGCTATAGCCGGCAGCTATAGCCGGTAGCTATAGCCGGCATATTTTTCTTTAATACGTTAACTAATAGTATTTAGACCTATAGCCGCTACCTCTATCGATACGACCGATAGTAACGGAGATATTTAGATAACCGAGAACAATAATACTAGAGTTTAGGATACCGCGATAGAGCTTAATACTACGAATAAAGGAACTAAAAAAAGCGAGGAGATACTATACGTCGATCTAGTAATAGGTACAGTCTTAGGGCCTAACGCTATAGACGATAAGCGCTAAGAGTAGATCGAGTATAGTTAAAGAGACGAGATACTAGTAAAGGGCTAAGGTATAAGTCCTATTAATCTAGAAAATTATAGTTAAAGCTACTACGAAAAGCTAGCAAGGATTAGAATCGAGACTAGTCGTCTTTATATCCTCGATATAGAGTAGAAGTTTCTTTATTAGTATTAGAGCGAAGCCTTTACGTCTATAAAGGTAAAGTAGCTTACGATTAATGCGATTAGGGCTAGGTATCTAGGGACGGCAGAAGTGTTACTATAGGAGGAAGGGGTATAGGTAATTATTCTATACTCGGTATATATAGCCGGCGTTCGTAGCCGGTAGATACTAATAGTTAAATAGAAAGCGTTTCTCGAAGGCAGAGTACTACTGCTATATAAAATCTTTACTAAGGCAGAGAGGGCTTATATCCGGAATCTAAGCTACTAGTAGGATAGGTTAGCGTTAGAATTCTCTAAATCTCTATATAAGCCTCCGAAGGATTACCTATTTTAGCGATACGGCTTTATCTCGACTACTCCGTAGGTACCTGAAGAAGCTCGAGCGCTCTTTAAGGTCTTTACTAAGAAGCGGAAGGAGTTCGAGGATTAGGATTAGTTAATAGAGCTATTAGTTAGTCTTAGGTTTCGTAGTTAGACTCGGCCTAAGTATTTGCTTATCGAGTGTCTTATACCGAAAGAGGATAGATTAAGACTAAAAACGAGCTTAGATTCGTTAGGTATAGTAGCTCGGTTC